ACACGCCCACCTGGTGGCCAAGGGGTGGTGATATCCACGGAGACCAACAGTGATGTGTCCTGTGGATCCACCCTGTGGATCTTGCAGAAGGACCCATCCGTGGGAGGCTGTGGCCTGTGCCTAATCCTAGCCCTTCTCTTGATGGCCTCCTCCACGGGGAGGGACATGCCCTCCTCTGGTGACTGTGCCCATCCTCTTTGTGCAGAAGACTCTCTGGGTCTTGGGCAGCCTGGACCAGCTGTCAGTGTGTGTTTACACCTGAGCTGCAGCACTGGGATTGTGAGGCACAAGAAGTTTCCTTGGGCCCACAGGCCCTGCACCCCAGAACCCTCACCTTGGTGACAGCCTTTGGGATAAAGACGTGTCCCTGACACTCCCGACAGGATGCTGGGCAGCCCTGTTACATCAGCCCTGGGAAACTGTAAGGACACCAGGGCCCTCCTCTCTTGCCCCGGTCCCCTGTCCTGTTGCCCTGTTCTGTTGGCCTCCTTCGTGAGCCACCTTGGCTTTGCCTGGGTCCTCCCCAGTCTGATCTTAGGTCAGTTCAACCACCGATTGATAAAAACAACTCACAAAGGAAGTTCTCAATGCACTGACTTATCCCTGTCGCAGTCCCCTCGGGAGATATCAAGTAAAACAAACGTTCTAAAACAGGCTGTGTCCTCGTGTAATAGGCTGGGGAGAGGAAGCGAAAATCAACAGATGATGTCATGGAACCCTGGCAGAAAGGGCAGCCGCGGGGGTCGGAAGTCACTGAGGAGACCACGGGGCCTGGTCCAGGCTGTACAAGAAGCCTGAGTAACTTCTCAGTGTATTTATGGCTCTCAGTGAATTCGACTGCAGAGAATCTTACAAAATTTACTAAAGACAGCGGAGGAGGGTGTCCCAGGCACAACCATCCCTCAGTGTCCACAGAGGTGGCTTCCGAGACCCCAGTAAACCTCAGGGCTACACACCCTCATGCCCCTCCAGTGGGCAGGTGTGCAGAGCCTTGAACACATGCAGGCACACGTCCCCCCGCCTGCAGAGCACACCTGATGTCACCATGGTGCGGATGCCATGTGAACTGTAATTAACTGTCTGGCTGCAGAGAAAGTAAGGGTGCATGTGCTGGCTTCAGACACAGGACTGTCTGCATGTTTTCAACCCACAGGGATTGAAGCCCCAAGCGGACAAGCTGAGGTACAGAGGCCATCAGTGCACTTGTGTGGGAAAAAGGTCCTGTCTCTTAGAAGTTCCTCAGGCTGGGTAAGTAGCTCAGTGGTACAGTGCTGGCCTAGCATGCAGGGAGTCCTGAATTTATTTCCCAGCACTACAAAAGGGAAAAGAAAATAAAAAAGTTGGTCATGGTGGCCAAAGCCTGTCACTCCAGGTGCTCAGGAGGCTGAGGCAGGAGGATTGCAAGTGTGAGTCCAGCCTGGGAAATTAGGTCAGACCTTGCCTGAAAATAAAAAGTAACCAAAGCGCTGGGGATGAAGATCAGTGTGATGGTCCTGGGTTCCAGTCCCAGTATCGAAAAAAAAAAAAAAAAAAAAAAAAAAGAAAGAAAGAAAAAACAGAAAAAAGGAAAACAGGAAGTCTGTTTCTCCACGTTCTTCTGTGGATCCGAGGCCTCTCTTGCTTTGGGCTTCTGCCCACGCTGCCATCCACAGTGGTCCTCTCTCTGCAGAGGTGACTGCGGCCCCCAAGTCAGTTCAGATCCAGGAGAACTCCTCCCACTCCCCGTCCTGCCCTCTCAGAGACTTTGCCTGAGAAAGGAGCCCACCTCTTGCCTAGCTGTGCAGTGGACAGTCAGGAGCTGTCAAGACTGTCTCAAGATAAAAAATCTGACCATGGTTGGAGCTCTGTGTGCCCCCCACCTCCCTCTCATCTCTAATTCCTTTCTCCTTTGGGGTTCTTCCCTTCAGACCGGAATACACCTTTGTCCCCCACCCCCATCCTCTCTGGCTCCCTGTGCCCTTCCTAGCTGCTCTTTATTTCTCTTCCCGTCTCTTATGTGAGACTCCTTGTACACTTGTCACATCTGCTGTGATCTCCTTGACGCTGCCTGCCTGACCTCTGACCTGTGTCAGGTTGGTTTTGGCCCTGATCCCTCCCACCAAGCCCTAGACACTCCCCATTCCCAGAGCCTAACAATTTTATTTTTCAGCACTGGTGATTAAACCCAGGACTTGGTGCTGAGCTACATCTCCGCTTTTTTTGAATTGTTTTGTGTTTTCATTTTTTAAGACAGGGTCTTGCTAAGTTGCCCAGGCTGGCCTTGAGTTTGTGGACCTCTTGTCTCAGTCTCCTAGAGTAGTGGGGCAACGGGCGTACACCTCCCTACCCAACTGCAGCAATTGTTTCCTTCCCTGGCCTGCTTCGCCTGGTGGCCTGTGCTGAGGTCTCCTCTGGGTGTACTGGCCCCCCATCTCTCAGTGCTGCCTCCTCAGCAGGTGTCCCAGTCTTGGGTGTCACCCATCTCATCTCTGGTTCTTGTGGGCTGAGGAGCCAGGGGTGGCCAGATGTTACCCTGCCCATGGCTCTCCCCTTCCCATCCCACGTCCAGCTGCAGGATGGACGTTTCTGCCTCACTGTATCTTGGACTCCCAGACAAACTCCCATGCTGTTCCTGGCAGGTGACACAGTAAGAAGCTGCCCGGGAAGCAGCTCTGCCACATCCCAGTCTGCCAGCTGTTTCCGGCCTCCAGAGCTGCCTGAGTGCCATGCAGCCTGTGGGGCTCGGTTAGGGCAGCTGGGGTCTTTGGCTATGTCCTAGACGTCCAGTCACTGTCCATGCAGGGGATAAAGGTCCCAGCAGCCTCTTCCTCTGATATTTATATCCTCATGTCTCAGATCTTCCGCCCCTGGTTCTAAAACACAGACTCCACATTTGCTTAAATTCCCGGGGGGACTTCCATCCTCTAGGCTCAGTGCATCTGGTGCTGGGAAGCCTGCTCTACGCACCAAGGTGACACAGGGTGTCATCTCACTCTGTCCACTGTGCCCTTCCTTCCCTGGACCACAGATGCAAATCCAGGTGCTGGGATTCGAGATGCTCAGGACTATGCCTCTGTGTGTTGGCTGGGATGACGTCACCATCTAGCTCAGGAGAAAGAGCTGCAGGCTTCGATCACCGGGGAGATACCGGAAACCTCTCAGATTCCCCCAGATCACCGGGGAGATACCGGAAACCTCTCAGATTCCCCCAGGTATGGAATCAGCATCCCCAGCACCAGCTCCAGTGCGCAGTCCCTGCTTCTCCTTGGCAAGGTCACAGTCACTGTGTCTTGGGTCTGAGGTCTTCGTGTCCCTGTGAGGCCACGCTTCCCTGTCACCCCTAAGGCAAGGCCATGGGTATCCGTAACATGGTCTCTCCAAAAAAGCTCACTTCCTGTGTGTAGTTGTATGCTCATATGGGATTAGAGCATTTGCCTTTTCAGACAGGATGACTTTGCCCACCTAATCATGCCAATGTGAGCTAACTCTGCAGATGAAATCCTGGCCTACACATCATGGAATATTCTGCAGCCTTGAAGAAGAAAGAAATTCTGACATGGACTACAGTCCAGGGCGCAGAGGGTGTCACACTGAGTGAGAGGAGCTGAGCACAGCAGGACCTGCACTGCACGAGCCATGTCATGTCCCCAGGGCCGTGGATTCAGGGAGAAGGCAGGTACAGGGCTGGCCAGGCACAAGGATTGGCTGCGAAAGGAAATCTCCCAGCAGGTGGCACAGAGGGGCCACAAAAGCCTCATGTAGGCAAACATCTGCTCCTCCAGCTCCTCCAAGTCCTGGCAGCAGGCTGGACATCAGAGTTGGTGGATCTGGGTGGCCTGCCTACTCCTCCTGGAGAAGGGTCATTACCCTCTGGGCTCCCCAGCATCTGCTGTAGCTCTGGGCATGGCAGAGTGGCCTGCCAGGGTTAGGGGGGACCTCTTGTCCCTAAAAGGTAGTGTGATGAGCCCTGGAGATCTGGCCGGGAAGCTCCAGTGCAAGTACTGCTGGAGAAGAGAGGTGGTATCCTGCCCATGCACCCAGCTGGGACGCCCACACAGGAGGTGTGGCTGCCCTCTCTGAGTGTGGCCTGCACCTCAAGAACCAATGGACACATCAGGGCTCCTCTGAACACACCCAGAGCACTTGACTGCCTTTGCCAACAGGATAAAGGGGCAGTTGAGGCACTGGGCAGCAGTGGTGGCAGCAGCAGATGCCCTTGGGAGGGTGGGGCTGAGTGTGGTGCCCAGGCTACTTCTGGACCATCAGAGCCCTGAGCCGAAGCACTTGACCTCCCCATGGTGCCATGAGCTGGAGTCTCCCGACCGCATTCTCCTGGCTCCTGTGCGCCAAGCAATCGCCATATGGGGACAGGGATGACCACTTGCCCTCAGTGCCCTGCATTTACATCCTAACACCAAATGGATACAACCCATGTGGGAGGGGCACTGTCCCTGGGCGACAGAGTCTAGAACTGGGGAAGGTTGGCTTTCCTCCCTGATTGTGCTACCCTAGAAGTCACACGTGTAGACAGGCCACATAGGACTTTCAAAGTTTCCAAACATTATACTAAGAGTTGAAGTTGGGGGCAAGGGGCAGCTTTGAGGAGGGTGTTTTGGCCTCGCCTGTTGAGGGTTTAAAGCCAGCATCCCTGAGTGGGGACAGCATCCTGCACCAGAGATTGCAGATGCAGAAGAGGTGGCTGCAGGGTCCCTGCAACATCAGAGCCTAGGACATCTGGGGTGTCTGGGGGAAGCTGGTGGCTCTGGGGAGGCCGCAGATAGGCCGCAGATAGGGAAGAGCGCCCTGTTTGTAGAGAAAGGGAGCCAATGGCAGTTTCCTGGTCGAAGACAATGTCTCTGGGGCCACCGAACTTGCAGAGGGGCTGGGAGGGCAAGGCAGGACAAGGACGCCCGGTTTTGTTATTAACACACTTATACCATTCACACCCCCCTCCCCCTAGCCAGAGCTGAGATTTCTGTGACTGTCACAGCAAATCCCCCTGGAATTCCGGTGGCACCCACCTGCGGTGTGTGAGGAAGCTGCCACTGACGTGGCCCGAGCCGTCACAGCCCGGCGTGGGGCAGGACATGCCTTCCGTCTTCACGGACTTCCAGGAGAACTGCGAGCCGTTCAGATACCCATCCTTCTGCCGCTTGGCTGCCAAGGGACACCCTGAGGCGCTGCGGTGGGACGCATACTTCCCTGTGATGTGTCCTTGACCATCACATCCGGGGACTGGACACCTGGGTGGAGACAAGACAGAGGGGACGCGCTGCACCTGTGTCCCCTGCATAGGGCGGGTGGCCCCTACTACACCGCCAGGGCCGGCAGGTGTGAAGGAGAAGAGAAAAGTCGCCTGGAAGTGCCACCTAGTGGTACGGGGATGTATTTCACTCTGGCTGAACCGTGCTGGGCCGCCCTGGGATAGTACCCTGCGCTTTGAGGCGCTGCGTGGTCCTGTGGACCAGGAACATATGGCTGGCTGCTGGGGACACTTGGCGTCCACAGAGGATGCCACTTCTGGACAGAACTGTAGCTCTTCTGGCGGGAAAATGCAAAGCCACTCGAGGGCATGGAGTCTACCAGCTGTATCGGTAGCAGTTCTGTCTTGTGATTGGGCTTCTTCGGGGCTAAAGCACATCTGTGTTTGGCTGTGGCCCCCAGGACCATGGGCCACCCAGGAGCTGGACCTCACTAGGGTGCTCAGAATGGAGGGCCGTGGAAGGCCCAGGGAGGCGGCCCTCTTTGCCCACCCAGGGTGCTGAGGGCTGACCCTCGATCCCGGGGCCTAGCTGTCTTGCAGAAGATGGAGGGCAGAGTCCACACCTCCCACGCCCCCTAGCCAAGGGCTTTTCCTGCATATCTCATTTTTTTTTTTTTTTTTTTTTTTTGGCGTTCCTGCATATTGAACCCAAGGCTTTTGCACTGAGCTACATCCCTAGCCCTTTTTATTTTAAGATAGGGTTTTATGAAGTTGCTCAGGCTGGACTCGGTCAGAGAATTCTCCTGCCTCAGCCTCTTAAAAGTCTGGGATTACAAGTTTGTGTCACTGTGCCTGGCTCCATTACCTTTTAAACAGCAAAGTTTTTCTTTTACAGAATCTGTATTTCCTATTTATTTTGATACATTTTATCTTGCTAATGTATTTTTTTTGTAATGTACATTTTAATTACATTTTTTGTTTCAGGTAAAATTTATCTCCAGAAATATGGAGATTGAAATTTCAGGGAAACTTACCAGGTTTCTCCCTTTTGTATATGTGTTGTCAAGGCGAGCACTTTCTTTCTTTCTTTTTTCTTTCTGTTTTTCTTTTTGCTTTTTGAGACAGGGTCTCACTATGTAGTTCAGGCTGGCCTTGAACTCACTATGTAGCCCAGGCTGGCCTTGAATTTTGGGCAATCCTTCTGCCTCAGCATCCCAAGTGCTGGGATGACATGCTTGTGTCACCATGCCCAGCTCTTCATCAGGTTTATGTTGCAGGGATTTTGAGACCTGTGCCCAGCGGGCACTGATGTGTGGCAGACACTCCTGCACAGTGGGCTGGAAGCCTAGCCTGGCTGTTGTCTCCAGGCTGCTCCAGGAGAGGCAGGGTGTAACTGAGTGACTGTGGCACAGTATCTCACCCTCCCTTCCGCAGTGGATTCTGCTAGGGAGGGGGAGTTCCCTGTGACTTTGGTCAGGTGGACAGCAGTCCGTGACACCCCCAGGGACATCTTGGCTTTGGTTGATGTGAGCTCAGCTGATGCCCCCAGGACTGCGGGCGCTTTTTCTCCAGGTGTTTTCTGGCTGCCCCCATGCACCGTAGCCTCTGTGGCTCCTGTACCTGATGGGCTCCTGGTCCTCTTTGTCTTCTTTGCTCTGTGCTATCCGGATCCCGCTCTTCTTTGCTCTGGGGCACCCTGAAAGGCTAAAGGAGAGACGGAAATGGGTGTCAGCAGCGCTTTGCTGTGGTCTGGGAAAGGTTTCTCTCCTGTGCGTGGAGAGGGTGAGGGGTTCGGGGCGATGGAGGCCGGGGGAGTTTGTTTTGTTTTCTAATGTTTGGAAGGAGCGGTCCCTTCCTGAGGCACCCAAGTCCCCACTTCTGGGACAGGAACGTATCAATGGTGACTCCAGACGGTTCCCAGTGCTCTGGTGCCACGCAACCCTGCCTTTCTGATCCTTCTGCCCCTCTCAAAGATCAGGGTCATTCTGGGGGCTCTTTTCTGTCCCCCACCTCATGCTGTCCCTATCCAGGCTCCTCTGAGCAGCCGTCCCAGCAGAGGCAGCCATGAGTGTGTGTACCCAAATCCCAGCCCAGGGTGCCCCAGGGAACCAAGATAGCTAAGTGGCTGCTGAAAGCATTGCTGTGTGGGCACAGGAGCAAAGGTGACAGGGTGGCCATGTCCTCCCTGGCACCTGGTGGCGTCCCTGCCCAGCACAGCAGTCCTCCCTTGTTCTCCCTTAGCCTCGGGGCCACACAGGTCCGTGGACTCAGGGACTTCTCCTGAGCAACATTTTAGCACAGGCAGGAAGCTCTACGTGACTCACTGCTTGATGATTTTTATGCTTGGTGAAAACGAGAGGACTTTTCCCCTGCCCTCCAGCAGAGCCCCAGAACATCAGGAAGGAGACAAGAAGATCGGCTCAATATCTTAAAGCTTTTTTTTCTATCTAGAAAGTAGACAGGAAACCAGCTGTGCTGGCTTGGGCTATAATCTCAGCACTCTGGGAGGCTGAGGCAGGAGAAGCTCAAGTTTAAACTTAGCAAGCCTTATCTCAAAGTAAAAAATGAAAAATGGGCTGGGCATGGAGCTCAGTGTGAAGGCCCTGGATTCAAGCCCCTGTGTCAAAAAGCAAAATGAAATGAAATAAACAAACCCCAAACAAAACAAAATCCATAGATATGAAGGTTGACCACACTGTGGCTTTCCTGGGGGTGGCCTGGAGGTGGCATCAGTCATTCAAAGCAGCCCAGACATGGCCGGGTCTCTGAACGTGAGCAGGAGATGAATGAGGTGCTTGCTTGGCACTGGGAGGTTAGGCAAGGCCCCTTGGAGTCCAAATCTGAACCCAGCAGACAGTAGCGCTGAAAGCAGCCCGTTGCCTGCCCTCGGTTCCTAGCCAGCCACGAGCTCATCCTCCCAGCCCCAGTGCACTGCAGGAAAGGGACCCAGCCCGCCACTTCCAGCTCGAAGTGGCTCCAAGCTCTGTGCCAGCACGCACAGGGCAGCTTCTTAGGATGAGGACCCAGCTTCCACCTTCGGATAGTGTCGCCTTCACTCCAGGGTTCACTGGGCAAGCAGAACGCACAGCTGCTGGACACTGAAGCCCCCCTTCCTCCTCCTCCGATGGGTGAGTCTGTGCTAGGGACACTGGGCACTTCCATTTACAGCAGAGAAGGACTTTGGGGGTGCCTGTGTGGATCCCTAGAGCACAAGAGAACTGAGCAGATGGGTCTGCCTGGCAGCTGGAGGTGTGGCTGTCGAATATTATAAAAGATCTGAAGGGCTGGGGAAGGAGGACATAGGAATCCACAGCACGGGTGAGCAGCATCCTTGCACCCTTATTTCGTCTCTGGATGAGGCTCACGAGCCTCCCTCAGGTGGCCAGGAGTGCATACAGAGACAGCACGGTGCTTCCTTTGCAGAGCACTCAGGAAACTGGAGGGGTGCAGTGGCTTGGTGAGATACCAGGGTGTTGGTGGGGTGGGGGTTACAGAGACACTGCTTCTGTCCCGGAGCAGTGGCCTCAGGATCTGAGGGGTCCTTGCTGTTTGCAGGTTCCTGTTGCAAAGGTCAGCATTGGTTGGAGGCCAGGATGAGGGGAAAGACCTCGTGAGCCTCCTTGCCCTTGTGTGTCTGCAAACTGCCGGAGGGGGACAGACAGAAGTCCAGTGGGGACTGCTCTGTGAGGTTGTGAGGAGAGTCACACAGGAGTGTTAGGGGAGCCCGATGTGCCGGAAGACCAGGAGCTGGAGCCCCATGAAAACCATCCGAGCCACACAAGGCGAGCTGATCAGAGCTGTCCGGGATGGCCCGGGGCTGCCTTCTGGAGTGGCAGAAGGATCACTTCTGGCAGGCACGGAGGTCCAGCTTTGCTCTCTGACAATGCGGGCTCCAGGTCCTTCTCTGACTCTGGTTGCCTCAGATTCCTCAAAGTCAGGATCCGATGACTTGCTTGTCATGCGGCTGGGCTGCTGGGCTTGCAGAAAAGGTGCCCTTCCGCCAGTTCCCAGAGCAGCAAGGGAAGTGCAGTCAGGGTGCAGAGGCCACCGTGACCCCAGAGAGACCACCTGCTGTGAGCAAAGGGGACCCTCCATGGTCTGGGGGTCATTTTCTGCCATTCAGTTCTCACCGTAGCCCACAGCTGGAGAGAAGACGCTCGAACTCAAAACTTTGTTGAACAGAGGCACATCTGGGGGGAAAGGCAGTGAGTGGCTCATTAAGTGAGGTGTGTGGTTTGCAGGGCTGCGTGCTCCTGGGAAGTGGGTGGCAGAAGATGAACAGGCTGTGGCCATCCGGGTCCAGCTTCTCAGTTAACGTTGGCTTCTGTCTTCAGCAGCTGACTTGCATGCAGAGATCAGCTTATTTAACCACGAGCCCCGGGCTTGCTCTCCTGGCTCATTTACTCTAGAAGAACTAACTGAACGCAAACTTCTAACAAGTGTTTCACCGCATTTAGACCTCCGCCTGTGGGATGTTGCTACAATAAATGACAACACTACTAGCTCTCCTTTCTCTCTGCCGAGGCCTCTGTAGGCCTGTGTGTCGAGCTCACCTTTGCTAAAATCATAAACTTGCTTCCCAGGGCCATTAATCCACCCAGGAGAGATCTGTTCAGCTTCAGTTTAAAGTCGTTATATTTTAATCCCGATTGTGCTCTATTAATATGCAAATATAAGTGGAATGAATAAAAGCATTTCAACTAAATCATGTCCAAATTCAAATGATATCAACTGCCTCCCCCTCCAGATAAAATGGTAGAAAAATAGACATTTCTATAGAATAGACCAAGGAATGGACACTTTAAAAAAATTTTTTTTTTTCTTTTTGAAACAGGGTCTCACTATGCAGTTCAGGCTGGCCATGTGCTCACTTTGTAGCCCAGGCTGGTCTTGAACTTGCAACAATTTTCCTACCTCAGCCTCCTGAGTGCTGGATGACAAGTGTGCGCCACCACGCCTGGCTAAATGGATGCTTTTAGTTATGCAGACTTAGAAAGTGCTGGAGTTTCAGTCATCCTCGCATGGAGATATTTCTAAGATGAGTTAAATAGACTGACATGGAGTGTACTTGACTTTTTATATTTAACTGGCGTGGTTTTTTGAACCTTTATTTAATCCAAAGCAGCCTGCTGATCTTGGAAATCCTTTGGAAGGACCTCATGGGTCTTGTCTGCAAACTGTGTCTTGCAGGACAGGACAGGCTGACAGCTTCTGAGCCCAAGGGGCTACAGAGTGGACAAGAGCAGGAGGGCTCTGGGCTGGCATGGGGGACTCCCATGAGCAGTGTGCCTTGGGGGGGTCCGAGTCGAGTCCCAGCTGTTTCTGCTCACAGACAAGCACGGGCTTGGAGGGCTTTGAGCACAGGTTTTGCATGTGTGTGCAGTTAAATCTTCAGGATGGTCACTGTGTGAGCCTTGTCATTCCTGGAGTCAGGTCACTTGTGTGGTTCACAGCATAGGTAGAGGGTCTCATGGGCTGGCCTGGGACTGCTGGGTGTGACCAATCTCGTACACTCAGATAGCTGTGGTCCTCCCTGCATTGTGACTCCAGAGGTAGGAAAGGCGTTGAGAGCTGACCCACACTGTCAGCCGGTCCCAGGTAGTAATTCTCCTGCCCTGCCTGGGGTCACTGCTGGCCCTGACTCACTATGACACAGGCCACCTGATGTGCCCTACAGGAAGATGTGCCATGGTGTGGACAGTGCACTGACAAGCACTGTCCTCTACCTGGATTCGAGCCAGGCTTCTCTGACCTTGGCCTGACCCTGGACACCTCTCTGTGCAGAATCTGGAGTGAGTGGGAACCCCATTGAGTCAGTGTGATGCAGACCCCACCTCAGTGACTGAGTCCCCACCTCTGTCACCTGGCCTCCATCGCCAAGCCTGCCATGTCCCCATCCCCAGTGTGTCCTTAGTGATTTTGCATGGCTGTGCATCTACACTGGTGGGGCTGGAAGCTGGTGGTGGCTAGTGTCTCCCTGCAGGACCCTGCCACAGTGGCCCCGAGTCCACCTTGCCGTTTAACAATGTGTGGGTGAATCATTTCCTCCTCCTCCTGTTGACTCTCTAACATCAGTCACTGACCCACCGTTCCCTGGCTGCAGCAGTACGGATGCTTTCCGATTTCCTACGACTGGTCCTATGCTGTAATTCAGACTCTCTTTTCTATCTTTTTTTTTTTTTTTTGTCTTTTTTTCGTTTTTATCGGTACCAGGGATTGAACTCACGACTGCCTGCTTGCAAGGCAGGTGCTTATGCCGCTGAGCTAAACCCCCAGCCCCCACAGACTCTCTTTTCTCTTGGGCACCAGTGCCTAGAGTTTGGAGAGCCCAGCGTCTAACTCTGCAGATCCCTGCTTACAGTAATCACGCAGGGCTCTAACTTAAACCTCAGTGTTTACTGAGATTAGCTCTCAGCACTGGAGGGTGCTTGTGTCTCAGAGATTATGCAACAGAAGAGGAGGATATTTCACCTTTATCCTTCACCTTGAGAACAGTCTGCTGGAGGGTTGGACATGTTTCTCCTAAGTGTCCAGGGAGGCTGGTGGGTAAGCCCTTCTGGGACAGCCCTGCTTCACGGTACAGGGAGTGCAGAGCCTCAATTTTACCCCTGTGGCCAAGTGGAGCTTGCTGCAGAGCCCGGCTTTGGAGCTGTAACCTGGGGAGAGGGTGCCTTGGAGGGAAGAACGTGTCCCTATATACCTCCGATGGGAAGCATAGTTGCTACATACCTCCGATGGGAAGCATAGTTGCCGGTGATGTGTCCTGAGCCATCGCAGCCAGGTGTGGGGCACCTGCAGGAAGAATGCAAATTGGAAAACCGACTTAAGTAGAATTCAATGCCACGGACAGCAAACTTCTTATCTATCCAAAAAGCAAAGCTTTCTTGCTCAGCCTCCCTATGGAAAGGTGGATCTGAGCCAGAAGCCCCCTAGCTCAGTGTCACCATGGCCACCTCCTTCTACTCACAACCCTGTCTTTCCAAGTCATAGACATTTCCAGGAGGGTGTGGGTTCCAGAAAGTCTGTTCCCTTCAAACATCCCGGGTCTCCTCCCAGTTACTCCTCTAAGTTCAGCAGAGGCCAGCTAACAGCAGGGCTTGTCATCACAGCCACCCACACCCCAGGCAAGATGCACGACAAGGTCTGCACTGGGGCCGAGAGTCTGGTCCTAGTCTGGTGTCCCTCGCACCAACTCCTACAGCTCCTGCCACCCTGTGGACCCCAGCCTGCACCCGGGCTCTGGGATGAGGTCAGTGACTATCCTGGAAACTTCTGGCAGCCCCAGTCACCCTGAAATCTTTGTCACATTCAATGACTGGGATGCAACCAGCCAAACTGGTGGATGTACCGAGGGGTCTGCGTACACCTATGCTGCCTCTGCAGAAATCGCTCTGCAAATCCACCTGCTCTACATATACAGCATTGCCATGGCGCTCACGGAAGAGTGCTGTCTCTGAAGAGTTTTGTAAATATTGTGCTCCACATAACTTCCCAAACATGCCTTCCCAATAAACAGATGCGACTATAAAACATTCTCACTTTAAATGATTTTATTGCTTTTATGCCACTGTGAGTGTAAAAATTAAGGGTGGAAAAAAAAAAGAAAAAAGAAAAAAAAAAGAATGCCTCTTTCTGTTAAAATTGTGACCCTCCAAAATTAACAAGGAAGACGTGCTATCACAAGCAATATGACCTCCTAGCACTGTGGTTCCCTTGTGCTCTGGGGCCATCCCTACCAGTGAAATCTTGTCAAAGAGAAACTCATAGGTTTTAAATATTACATAAATGTGCACTGCAAAGGCACTGCCCCTTCCCCTCAGAGATCACTCTGGGTAGCTTCTTCCAGGTCAGAGGCAAGTGTTGGGAAAATACAGCATATTGGGCCCATTTCAGGCGTGAAGGTTGCACTGTACCACTTGGGTGTGTAAACAATTTACAGTACTCAGGTATCTTCTACTGCCCCTTTTGTCCCGAGAAGGGAACGTGATTTCAGATTTTAAAATAGAGGAACCAGTATTTTCCTGCTCATAACAAATGAAAAGTTGGGATTCACTATACAGCCCACACCATGGGAGAATAAAAACTAATGGAAGGAAAGGGAAGGGGAGGAATCCTTGCTGGGTTCCTGTGAATACCCCTGGCTCATCAGGAACTGGGATGTTTATGACAGGAGCTCTAGGGGAAAGAATGGTTGCCATATTTTAAAGAGAATTCACACCTCAAAACAAGAACCTTAGAACTGACTGTGGACTTGCTTTCTGATAAAGTGATGGCTGTGTATACACACAGTCAGGGCCGTCCAGCTAGCTGCTAAATATTTTCTCAGAAGGAAGTAACTGACTAAAGATAAGTACCTAATTTTCCAAAGGACAGTGAGGTGGGGAGTGGGTAGGCCCTGGGTTGCTCATAGGGAGAGCAAACTCAACTCAGAGAAGCTAATCTTTCGGAAATGTACTCAGCCACAAGGACATATTTGGGGGCCTTATTTTCTTTTCTTTTCTTTTTTCTTTTTCCTTTTTATTGGTACCGGCGATCGAACTCATGACTGCCTGCTTGCAAGCAGGCGCTTATGCCGATGAGCTAAATCCCCAGCCCCTTTATTTTATTTTTTGCACAAGGAAAATGACTCATAAACTCTTCCCAATTTAAGTGTTTAGTGTAAATTTACTTAAAAGTCTCTCATTTTCTATATGGATAGATATTTTCCATTTCTTCCCTTTGGCGGAGATTATGAGTGATGATATTTATGTCAAATTTAGAGCACAGTTTCATAACTAATATGATGTAATGAAAATCAGATTTCATCATCATCTTTTTTTTTTAAAAACTCTTTGGAAAGGACAGTAGGGAAAAAATGCAATCAGGTACACTACCAGTGTCTCTTAGATCACTGAAAAGGAAGGTTTGTGCTAATATCGACTGGAGAAGTTTTTATGCCCATATTTTGCATCCTGAGCAACTACTTTGAAGATAAAAACCTGGAACATCCCATATCTATGTTTAACTGCCTTCAGTGACGTCTGATTCATTATCTGGCGCATACGCGAGCTGCAGAAGTAAGCACATTATTGTCTGGTGAGAACAGAGGTATTTCAACTCCCTTTTTTCACTACGAAAACAAAAATCACTGAGTTTGTTCATTTTCAGAGTTTTCACTCTTTTGGGGAAAGTTTATTTCGAAGGCTCTAGGGGGCGGGAGACCGAGGCTCATACCCCAGCTCTGCGCCTGCTAGACGCGTGGGTGTGGGGACCTTTCACTGAACCCTGCAAAGGGCGCCTTTGTGTAAGCCGACTTGCTCCGCTGCCGTTCGGCTCCGCACCTTTAGGTGGCGCCCGAGGACCACAGATGGTGCAGGGCTTGGTGGGTGGGCTTGGTGCTTCTTGCAGACACATTTCGTGATTGTTCAAGACCTTAAGGCTTCTAAAATTTCTTCCATTTACATACAGATTTCCTAGCTTAAAAGAAAAATCTCCTAAATCTGCCTCTCTGCTTCCTGCCACCTCTCCTTCATTCTACGTGCACCGATCCCCCGAAACAAAGGTATTTATTAAGCTTCCTAAACATGCACACTGTAAGAAAGTAAATTCTTCTGTGAATTAAAAAAAAAAAAACATATAAAACACGGTGTTCTGCAGTTATGGGCGAGGAAGCCATGGCTCATCTAACAAAGGCGATCTGGGTCTCGGAGGCTACCGGCCTCCGGGCTCCGGAGATAGAGAGGGGCGAGACTGGTCGATCCCCCACGATCAATCAATCGATTGATGGGCGCTCGCCCGTCAGGCACAGCGCTCCTGGAGGCGGGCCCAGGTGGGGCCATCAGAGTCCCGAGCTGGAGGAGAAGGGCTGTTTCCATGGAAACGGCCTTTAACTCCCGCTGCAAGCTCCCAGCACAGGTGTGCGGGCTGAAGGAGAGCAGAAGGGGTCTTAAAGGACACTCTGTCCCTTGTAGCTTTTCTGCTTCTTACCATGAGCCCCAGACCTTGGGCAGGTTTAAATTCTTACAGCTAAGGATGCAGAGTTGTATGAAATCAAACACTTGGCCTTATCTATATATTTCCTTTCCTTCTCCAAGTGTACCCTGGGTAAAAACACTCAGTGAAAGAAATTGATGAATAAATAATCTCACAAATATGTGCTTGCTGCCTCGTGGATGCATTTGAGACAAAAATATTTTCAGTCTGCTTGCACTATCTTGGTCTCACATTTGCCTTGATATTAAGCAACAATAAGAGAATATATTCTTTGATGCTATCTATTAGTATTTGGTTGGGTAAACTGGTCTGGTATTGACAGTTTTAAATGGTAATAGAAAAACCATAATAAAATATTTTAAACAGTGCTTATTTTGTGTGATGTGCAGATGCAGGCAACATCCTAAAATTAAGGAATGAATCCAGGAGTGCTCACACTCGTGTGCATTCTGACCTTGGGGCATCTGTTCTGTTCAGTAGCAGCAACTGTGTTCCTATTGCTTTGTACACCTGAGATGCCACCGACAACCCCAAATCTGAGAACCCCCTGTCCCTCTGTACCTTTGGGTTACTCTTTCTTATTCACCACTAAGAAAATATTGAACCTTTATATGACTGGTCATTAGAGGTATCTTCATAGCAGTCATCAGATATATCTTCTGACATCTAAGACAAATTTGGTATCTGCGTACTAGTATATATAATCATGGAAGTCAGCTGGGCATAGTGGTGCATGCATGGAATCTCAGCACAGTTTGGAGGCTGAGGCAGGAGAATGGCAAGTTCCAGTCCAGGCAGAGCAACTTAATAAGCTGCAGTCTCCAAATAAATAAAAAGGGTTGCAGATGTAATTGAATACAAAGGCCTTGGGTTCAATCCCCAGTGCCTGCCACACACACACACACACACACACACACACACACACACACAGAGAGAGAGAGAGAGAGAGAGAGAGAGAGAGAGACAGAGAGAGACAGAGACAAAGACAGAGAGAGAGAGACAGAGACAAAGACAGAGAGAGAGAGAGAGAGAGACAGAGAGAGAGACAGAGACAGAGACAGAGTAATGCAATTTTGCATTAGCACACATCACAAAGATGGGACAGCTACCACCACCAGTGCATCTCAAGTCTTCCTTTGGTTTGTCCTCAGCAGGATGCAAGCCTTGGCACTGTGGTTTTCTCCCCTTGCAAAACTGCAGTCTGAGAAAGGGCGGAAGCAATGGAAGCCTTGCCTCCCCTGGCTGAGCTTGCAGTACTCGTTAATTATTCATCAGGCATCTCTTGCTCTATTCTACCCTTTCTCTCCTGTTTTCCAAAAAGAATGTGATGATATGCTTAAATCGATGCTCAAATTTGCGTTCAGACATGACATTCTTTGGGGTGGGCGTGCCTGCTGGTTCCATGAGCATGCACAGGAAGTGCACTTGCTGTTGGAGGTGGGCTGAGCAGGGGACCCTAGGGAGTCCCAACCGTGCCCCAACATTTCTTCTTGGGGTTGTATAAAGCTCCGCTCCCTCCTGCTGGACACAGTGTGGCTCACACAGCCAGGGGCTCCGTGTACTTGGAGAGTCAGGTCACCCTGGCAGGCAGGATGTCCATGTGGGACATCCTTGGAGTGAGCAGCAGGCATGCCTGCACAAACCATGCAGGGAAAGAGTGGCCCTCGGCCTCTCCTCTTGATAGAGTCAATTGCTTATTTTTAGAATCCTGCAAACAAAGGCTGCACTCCCTGCTGGCCTGAGGGAGCTCTAGCTGGACTCTAAGCTCTGAGGCGGTCTGTTTTTGCTTAGTTGGCTCCAGAAGGCTAAACAGGCCTTGG